ATCAAATTAAAATGCATGTTACTCATAATGGCAATAACGTGGCCATACCTGCGAAAGCCAGATCTCATCAAACCCCTGAAGCTAAGCAAGACAGGGCCTGGCTAGTGCTGTGATGGGAGACGTCTGAGAACAGCAGGTGCCACAGTGGGGCGGCCGCGGCTGTAAAGTGCCAAACTGTGGTCCTGAGGCAAGACACTTCCCCCACATTAGAATGAGTCTGGTGTGTGTGTGAGTGGTTGGTGGTGGTGGGAGGGGCCGATGGCACAGACTGGTTGCCTCGCCTCTGTCAGTGTGCCCCAGGGCAGCTGTGGCTACAGTTTATCACCACAGTGTTTGAAGTGAAATAATAATGTGAAGAGACTTTCCTGAAAAGCGCTGTATAAAAACCGGTGCATTATTCAGAAAAAAAATAATTCTGATTTTATTTTAAGCGTTCTAAAATGCTCAAGCAGCCAGTGAAGTTCTCCTTTGATCAACTGCAGTGTAAGGCTATAGGAGCCAGAGCGAGTTGGAGCAAAACTTTGTCCATGAGCACTTCCCTGTTGGGCCTCATTGAGCTAGCGAGTTAGAATTGTCCATCTATACACAGTCTATGGGTAAAAGTGTGGAAAGTGCATTTTAAATATTCTGCCCTCACGAACACACACACACACACACAGGCTCGCATTGGGGGCGGTGGGACTGTATTTTTAGCGTAGCAACACCAGCTCTGCTCCGGCTCTCACTGGTCCTGGAGGCCGTGGGCGGCAGCAGCTCCGATACGTCAAGAATATCTGAGTGTGTGGCAGTGTAGGTGCTGGTGTGTGTGTGTGTGGCAGTGTAGGTGCTGGTGTGTGTGTGTGTGTGTGTGTGTGGCAGTGTAGGCGCTGGTGTGTGTGTGTGTGTGTGTGTGTGGCAGTGTAGGCGCTGGTGTGTGTGTGTGTGTGTGTGTGTGTGGCAGTGTAGGCGCTGGTGTGTGTGTGTGGCAGTGTAGGCGCTGGTGTGTGTGTGTGTGTGTGTGTGGCAGTGTAGGCGCTGGTGTGTGTGTATGTGTGTGGCATTGTAGGCGCTGGTGTGTGTCTGTATGTGTGCTTTAGTGTGTGTTTTTCCCAGAGGTTCTGCAGTTTCATTTAAGCATGTGTCTTTTTACTGAATAAAAAAACGTATTTTCCCCGAATTTCTTAAAAAGCCGGAGCGCTTTGTGCCGAGTCATGGTGCAGTGTGTGGGACGGCCTCATTTTGCCGAGTCGTGCTTTTGCTTCACAATCTGCGATTTATTTATAATATCTGCGTCTCCAAATGCTTCTGTTCAGTGAGAGTTTGTATAAAGGTATACAAAGGTAATTATTAAAGAGCAGTGTGTAAACATGTGGTCAAAAGTGGTACTGCAGCCTCTCCCACTCACCCTGACTCAGGTTGCCAGATATGCAGACGAATCCAGCACTTTAATTACTTCAGATTTCGGCCCTGTAATGACGACAGATTAGGGCCCTTTAATGATGACAGATTAGGGCCCTTTAATGATGACAGATTAGGGCCCTTTAATGATGACAGATTAGGGCCCTTTAATGAGGAAAGATTAGGGCCCTTTAATGATGACAGATTAGGGCCCTGTAATGATGACAGATTAGGGCCCTGTAATGATGACAGATTAGGGCCCTGTAATGATGACAGATTAGGGCCCTGTAATGATGACAGATTAGGGCCCTGTAATGATGACAGATTAGGGCCCTGTAATGACAGATTAGGGCCCTGTAATGAGGACAGATTAGGGCCCTGTAATGAGGACAGATTAGGGCCCTGTAATGAGGACAGATTAGGGCCCTTTAATGATGATAGATTAGGGCCCTTTAATGACGACAGATTAGGGCCCTTTAATGACGACAGATTACGGCCCTTTAATGACGACAGATTAGGGCCCTTTAATGACGACAGATTAGGACCCCTTTAATGACAGATTAGGGCCCTGTAATGACGACAGATTAGGGCACTTTAATGATGCCTTGACATGAAACTCTTACATATTGCTACTTTAAGATAAGATAGACTTTCTTTATCTCTGATGTACATGTGACATCACAGATAGAATCACTCAGATTGTGCAACATGTAAAAAGATTTATTATGTACAGTAAAAAAATGCTTGAATATAGTGGTTTTTATCTTACTCTGACAGTTTTAAAGCTAGACTCTCCAACGGGACAAAGACATTTAATCTTTTCTCAAGAACTGCTTTATTTTCTCATTTTAAAGGCACTTGTTTCTTTTAAAACAAGATCATTTTGTTTTGTCCCATTGGAGAATCTGGTTTTAAGGCTCAGAATGTCCTTAAATTAAGATACATTCTGCCATTTTTGTCATATTTCTGATGAGTTTTGCAGTGTATATGATTACAGTGGTTATGTAACAGTGTGTGAAGGTCTGTGCAGTAACATGTAATGGACACTAGAGGGCAGGCTGCACTTAGCTCTGTCTGCAGTGGGAAGAGTCTGTGCAGTGACATGTAGTGGACACTAGAGGGCACTGCACAGACTGAATGTAACCACTGGATGGCGAGCTAACGACCCCGAACCTGTCAACCACCGCATCATTGTGGTAGGAACCATTGTTTCAACTTGATTCACCACTCTGGAACTCGATAAACTTGGATTACAATACGCATTCCACACGGATTACAAATACATTGGAACAATAACACTTACCTGAACTGAACTTACTTTGACTGAACTTACCTTGACAGAACTGTGAACAATATAATTTATTTACTTTACTCTCTTTGAAAGGGACACTTTGGTTTGAATTTTGCTTTGGTTGGTACATGTGTGCGTGTGTCTGCTGACTATATTTTCATTATTATTATTATTATTATACAACCTTTTGATCACATATAACAATATATATCAACATTAATACATATTATTTTCCCCAGAAAAGCTATTAACTGTGTATGTGTTTTATTCACACTCCTGGGCTCCTTATCGTTCCTTCTTCTGATGCCTACCCTACATGCGGTCAGACCCTTAGCCCCGTAGTGCGTTACATGTGGCGAGCTAGCCAGGAGTCAAACCTAGAATCTTCTGATCCATAGTCAAACGCGTTATCCATTGCGCCACTAGCCTCAGCTCTGTCTGCAGTGGGAAGAGTCTGTGCAGTGACATGTAGTGGACACTAGAGGGCAGGCTGCACTCAGCTCTGTCTGCAGTGGGAAGAGTCTGTGCAGTGACATGTAGTGGACACTAGAGGGCAGGCTGCTCTCAGCTCTGTCTGCAGTGGGAAGAGTCTGTGCAGTGACATGTAGTGGACACTAGAGGGCAGGCTGCTCTCAGCTCTGTCTGCAGTGGGAAGAGTCTGTGCAGTGACATGTAGTGGACACTAGAGGGCAGGCTGCACTCAGCTCTGTCTGCAGTGGGAAGAGTCTGTGCAGTAACATGTAGTGGACACTAGAGGGCAGGCTGCTCTCAGCTCTGTCTGCAGTGGGAAGAGTCTGTGCAGTGACATGTAGTGGACACTAGAGGGCAGGCTGCTCTCAGCTCTGTCTGCAGTGGGAAGAGTCTGTGCAGTGACATGTAGTGGACACTAGAGGGCAGGCTGCTCTCAGCTCTGTCTGCAGTGGGAAGAGTCTGTGCAGTGACATGTAGTGGACACTAGAGGGCAGGCTGCTCTCAGCTCTGTCTGCAGTGGGAAGAGTCTGTGCAGTAACATGTAGTGGACACTAGAGGGCAGGCTGCACTCAGCTCTGTCTGCAGTGGGAAGAGTCTGTGCAGTAACATGTAGTGGACACTAGAGGGCAGGCTGCACTCAGCTCTGTCTGCAGTGGGAAGAGTCTGTGCAGTGACATGTAGTGGACACTAGAGGGCAGGCTGCTCTCAGCTCTGTCTGCAGTGGGAAGAGTCTGTGCAGTGACATGTAGTGGACACTAGAGGGCAGGCTGCTCTCAGCTCTGTCTGCAGTGGGGAGAGTCTGTGCAGTAACATGTAGTGAACACTAGAGGGCAGGCTGCACTCAGCTCTGTCTGCAGTGGGAAGAGTCTGTGCAGTGACATGTAGTGGACACTAGAGGGCAGGCTGTTCTCAGCTCTGTCTGCAGTGGGAAGAGTCTGTGCAGTGACATGTAGTGGACACTAGAGGGCAGGCTGCACTCAGCTCTGTCTGCAGTGGGAAGAGTCTGTGCAGTAACATGTAGTGGACACTAGAGGGCAGGCTGCACTCAGCTCTGTCTGCAGTGGGAAGAGTCTGTGCAGTAACATGTAGTGGACACTAGAGGGCAGGCTGCACTCAGCTCTGTCTGCAGTGGGAAGAGTCTGTGCAGTAACATGTAGTGGACACTAGAGGGCAGGCTGCACTCAGCTCTGTCTGCAGTGGGAAGAGTCTGTGCAGTGACATGTAGTGAACACTAGAGGGCAGGCTGCTCTCAGCTCTGTCTGCAGTGGGAAGAGTCTGTGCAGTAACATGTAGTGGACACTAGAGGGCAGGCTGCACTCAGCTCTGTCTGCAGTGGGAAGAGTCTGTGCAGTAACATGTAGTGGACACTAGAGGGCAGGCTGCACTCAGCTCTGTCTGCAGTGGGAAGAGTCTGTGCAGTAACATGTAGTGGACACTAGAGGGCAGGCTGCTCTCAGCTCTGTCTGCAGTGGGAAGAGTCTGTGCAGTGACATGTAGTGGACACTAGAGGGCAGGCTGCTCTCAGCTCTGTCTGCAGTGGGAAGAGTCTGTGCAGTAACATGTAGTGAACACTAGAGGGCAGGCTGCACTCAGCTCTGTCTGCAGTGGGAAGAGTCTGTGCAGTGACATGTAGTGGACACTAGAGGGCAGGCTGTTCTCAGCTCTGTCTGCAGTGGGAAGAGTCTGTGCAGTGACATGTAGTGGACACTAGAGGGCAGGCTGCTCTCAGCTCTGTCTGCAGTGGGAAGAGTCTGTGCAGTAACATGTAGTGGACACTAGAGGGCAGGCTGCACTCAGCTCTGTCTGCAGTGGGAAGAGTCTGTGCAGTGACATGTAGTGGACACTAGAGGGGAGGCTGCACTCAGCTCTGTCTGCAGTGGGAAGAGTCTGTGCAGTGACATGTAGTGGACACTAGAGGGCAGGCTGCACTCAGCTCTGTCTGCAGTGGGAAGAGTCTGCAGTGACATGTAGTGGACACTAGAGGGCAGGCTGCACTCAGCTCTGTCTGCAGTGGGAAGAGTCTGTGCAGTGACATGTAGTGGACACTAGAGGGCAGGCTGCACTCTCGCTCTGTCTGCAGTGGGAAGAGTCTGTGCAGTGATGTAGTGGACACTAGAGGGCAGGCTGCACTCAGCTCTGTCTGCAGTGGGAAGAGTCTGTGCAGTGACATGTAGTGGACACTAGAGGGCAGGCTGCACTCAGCTCTGTCTGCAGTGGGAAGAGTCTGTGCAGTGACATGTAGTGGACACTAGAGGGCAGGCTGCACTCAGCTCTGTCTGCAGTGGGAAGAGTCTGCAGTGACATGTAGTGGACACTAGAGGGCAGGCTGCTCTCAGCTCTGTCTGCAGTGGGAAGAGTCTGTGCAGTGACATGTAGTGGACACTAGAGGGCAGGCTGCACTCAGCTCTGTCTGCAGTGGGAAGAGTCTGTGCAGTGACATGTAGTGGACACTAGAGGGCAGGCTGCACTCAGCTCTGTCTGCAGTGGGAAGAGTCTGCAGTAACATGTAGTGGACACTAGAGGGCAGGCTGCACTCAGCTCTGTCTGCAGTGGGAAGAGTCTGTGCAGTGACATGTAGTGGACACTAGAGGGCAGGCTGCACTCAGCTCTGTCTGCAGTGGGAAGAGTCTGCAGTAACATGTAGTGGACACTAGAGGGCAGGCTGCACTCAGCTCTGTCTGCAGTGGGAAGAGTCTGTGCAGTAACATGTAGTGGACACTAGAGGGCAGGCTGCTCTCAGCTCTGTCTGCAGTGGGAAGAGTCTGTGCAGACAGAGCTGAGCTTGGAACTGACTGGAGCTGTAGTTATTAGCAGCAGATCATGAACACATGTAATAACTACAGCTCATCATGAAGAACACATGTAATAACTACAGCTCATCATGAAGAACACATGTAATAACTACAGCTCATCATGAAGAACACATGTAATAACTACAGCTCATCATGAAGAACACATGTAATAACTACAGCTCATCATGAAGAACACATGTAATAACTACAGCTCATCATGAAGAACACATGTAATAACTACAGCTCATCATGAAGAACACATGTAATAACTACAGCTCATCATGAAGAACACATGTAATAACTACAGCTCATCATGAAGAACACATGTAATAACTACAGCTCATCATGAAGAACACATGTAATAACACACATGTAATAACTACAGCTCATCATGAAGAACACATGTAATAACTACAGCTCATCATGAAGAACACATGTAATAACTACAGCTCATCATGAAGAACACATGTCATAACTACAGCTCATCATGAAGAACACATGTAATAATTACAGCTCATCATGAAGAACACATGTAATAACTACAGCTCATCATGAAGAACACATGTAATAACTACAGCTCATCATGAAGAACACATGTAATAACTACAGCTCATCATGAAGAACACATGTAATAACTACAGCTCATCATGAAGAACACATGTAATAACTACAGCTCATCATGAAGAACACATGTAATAACTACAGCTCATCATGAAGAACACATGTAATAACTACAGCTCATCATGAAGAACACATGTAATAACTACAGCTCATCATGAAGAACACATGTAATAATACAGCTCATCATGAAGAACACATGTAATAACTACAGCTCATCATGAAGAACACATGTAATAACTACAGCTCATCATGAAGAACACATGTAATAACTACAGCTCATCATGAAGAACACATGTAATAACTACAGCTCATCATGAAGAACACATGTAATAACTACAGCTCATCATGAAGAACACATGTAATAACTACAGCTCATCATGAAGAACACATGTAATAACTACAGCTCATCATGAAGAACACATGTAATAACTACAGCTCATCATGAAGAACACATGTAATAACTACAGCTCATCATGAAGAACACATGTAATAACTACAGCTCATCATGAAGAACACATGTAATAACTACAGCTCATCATGAAGAACACATGTAATAACTACAGCTCATCATGAAGAACACATGTAATAACTACAGCTCATCATGAAGAACACATGTAATAACTACAGCTCATCATGAAGAACACATGTAATAACTACAGAGCTCCATAAATGCTGACGCTGTTGTTTAAAGCAGCGGTGTCCAACCTCTGGCCTGAGCGCAGAATGTGGCCCTCTGTGTCATGTTGTGTGGCCTCTGCTGGGTCTTGGAGATCATAAACAGTTCAGTGTCATGCAGCCAACTTCAGCTCCACCAATATAAGGTCACACCTCGTTCTAAAGCTCAGAACCTCGAATCCAGACGTCAACTTTATTTGTATAAACTTTGTCATTAACGTTAATGTAGCTGTGAGATGGTCATCTTCACTGTTAATGCTAAAGCTAATGCTAATGCTAAGCTAATTCATTCTAAAAGGTTTGGAGCCCCTGCTTTAGTGTTGGGTTGAACCTGTTTATATTAATAACATGTTTTGCGAGTTGTAAAACCGATTCTTTCTGCAGTGTGATTGGATTTGATTTTAAAGTCTTGATTATAGTGTATCTTGTTTTGTTTTGCACTTTGAGTTTCCGTGTATAATCTGCGCTATAAAAGTAAACTCTCCTCTCCTTGACGTTGTTTTGACCTCTGACCCTGTCTCCCGCAGCTCTCTTCTGCCTGTGGGCCCAGCGTACGTTCAGTCTGAGGGTCCTGACCCGGAGCGGCGGCGGCGGCTGGTGGGAGGAGTCATAGACAGGCAGTGCGGCGGCGGAGGGGGCGGAGTCACAACGCAGTCACCATGACGACGGTGGCGGCAGAATACGAACCGATGGAGATCCAAAAGACGTACAACGAGGGCGTCAACAACCGCTGGGACGACGACTGGGACAACGAGAACAGCTCGGCCCGACTCTTCGAACGCTCACGCATCAAGGCCTTAGCAGGTGAGGCGGCTAGCGGGTTAGCATGTGAGGTTGTTAACAGGTGAGGCTAGTAGCAGGTGAGGCTAGTAGCAGGTGAGGCTAGTAGCAGGCGAGGCTAGTAGCAGGCGAGGCTAGTAGCAGGCGAGGTTGTTAACAGGCGAGTCGGTTAGCAGGTGAGGCTGTGAGCAGGTGAGGCTGTGAGCAGGTGAGGCTGTGAGCAGGTGAGGCTGTGAGCAGGTGAGGCTGTGAGCAGGTGAGGCTGTGAGCAGGTGAGGCTGTGAGCAGGTGAGGCTGTGAGCAGGTGAGGCTGTGAGCAGGTGAGGCTGTGAGCAGGTGAGGCTGTGAGCAGGTGAGGCTGTGAGCAGGTGAGGCTGTGAGCAGGTGAGGCTGTGAGCAGGTGAGGCTGTGAGCAGGTGAGGCTGTGAGCAGGTGAGGCTGTGAGCAGGTGAGGCTGTGAGCAGGTGAGGCTGTGAGCAGGTGAGGCTGTGAGCAGGTGAGGCTGTGAGCAGGTGAGGCTGTGAGCAGGTGAGGCTGTGAGCAGGTGAGGCTGTGAGCAGGTGAGGCTGTGAGCGCAGGTGAGGCTGTTAGCAGGTGAGGCTGTGAGCAGGTGAGGCTGTGAGCAGGTGAGGCTGTGAGCAGGTGAGGCTGTGAGCAGGTGAGGCTGTGAGCAGGTGAGGCTGTGAGCAGGTGAGGCTGTGAGCAGGTGAGGCTGTGAGCAGGTGAGGCTGTGAGCAGGTGAGGCTGTGAGCAGGTGAGGCTGTGAGCAGGTGAGGCTGTGAGCAGGTGAGGCTGTGAGCAGGTGAGGCTAGTAGCAGGTGAGGCTAGTAGCGTGTGAGGCTAGTAGCATGTGGGGCGGATAGCGACCATATGGAGAGACATTGGGCACTACATATATGTTCTATAATCTTTCTGTGTGTTAACTGTTGATTCTCTGATCTGTGATTTCTATGGTTTTGTTAAGTCTCTGAGATGATGCTGTTGTGATTTAGCAAAATACAAGAATAAGCTGTATTTGTAATTGTTAGCACATCATGGATTGTTAAAAGAGAAAAAGTGGTGGTAGAATATGGATATTCACGCTTTAGTTTAACACTCATTAACAGCTAATTAGTGTGTAAGTGATGGTTAATTAGTATTTATTAAGCATGTATTAGTCTTTATTGTACATGGCCTCACACTGTCTGCCACGTTCCCATGTGTGTTAGTGTTAATGAGTCTTATACAGGCGTGTGAAGCTGTGTACTGTAACCATGTGTGTTAGTGTTAATGAGTCTTATACAGGCGTGTGAAGCTGTGTCCTGTAACCATGTGTGTTAGTGTTAATGAGTCTTATACAGGCGTGTGAAGCTGTGTACTGTAACCATGTGTGTTAGTGTTAATGAGTCTTATACAGGCGTGTGAAGCTGTGTACTGTAACCATGTGTGTTAGTGTTAATGAGTCTTATACAGGCGTGTGAAGCTGTGTACTGTAACCATGTGTGTTAGTGTTAATGAGTCTTATACAGGCGTGTGAAGCTGTGTACTGTAACCATGTGTGTTAGTGTTAATGAGTCTTATACAGGCGTGTGAAGCTGTGTACTGTAACCATGTGTGTTTAGTGTTAATGAGTCTTATACAGGCGTGTGAAGCTGTGTACTGTAACCATGTGTGTTAGTGTTAATGAGTCTTATACAGGCGTGTGAAGCTGTGTACTGTAACCATGTGTGTTAGTGTTAATGAGTCTTATACAGGCGTGTGAAGCTGTGTACTGTAACCATGTGTGTTAGTGTTAATGAGTCTTATACAGGCGTGTGAAGCTGTGTACTGTAACCATGTGTGTTAGTGTTAATGAGTCTTATACAGGCGTGTGAAGCTGTGTACTGTAACCATGTGTGTTAGTGTTAATGAGTCTTATACAGGCGTGTGAAGCTGTGTACTGTAACCATGTGTGTTAGTGTTAATGAGTCTTATACAGGCGTGTGAAGCTGTGTACTGTAACCATGTGTGTTAGTGTTAATGAGTCTTATACAGGCGTGTGAAGCTGTGTACTGTAACCATGGTCTCTCCCTCTTCTCTTCCTTCACTAAATAATTCAGCGTCTGTGTTAAAAATGCAAAGGTGCTCTTTCTGCTCTCGTATACAGAGTCAGACACCTGTACGTCAACATTATACAGAGTCAGACACCTGTACGTCAGATTAAAGCACATTATACAGAGTCGGACACCTGTACGTCAGATTAAAGCACATTATACAGAGTTAGACACCTGTACGTCCCCTGAGGGTGATCCAGCCTCAGTCCTGGCCCCTGACTGTGATCCAGCCTCAGTCCTGGTCCCTGACTGTGATCCAGCCTCAGTCCTGGCCCCTGACTGTGATCCAGCCTCAGTCCTGGCCCCTGACTGTGATCCAGCCTCAGTCCTGGCCCCTGACTGTGATCCAGCCTCAGTCCTGGCCCCTGACTGTGATCCAGCCTCAGTCCTGGCCCCTGACTCTGTGATCCAGCCTCAGTCCTGGCCCCTGACTGTGATCCAGCCTCAGTCCTGGCCCCTGACTGTGATCCAGCCTCAGTCCTGGCCCCTGACTGTGATCCTGCCTCAGTCCTGGCCCCTGACTGTGATCCAGCCTCAGTCCTGGCCCCTGACTGTGATCCAGCCTCAGTCCTGGCCCCTGACTGTGATCCAGCCTCAGTCCTGGCCCCTGACTGTGATCCAGCCTCAGTCCTGGCCCCTGACTGTGATCCAGCCTCAGTCCTGGCCCCTGACTGTGATCCAGCCTCAGTCCTGGCCCCTGACTGTGATCCAGCCTCAGTCCTGGACTGTGATCCAGCCTCAGTCCTGGCCCCCTGACTGTGATCCAGCCTCAGTCCTGGCCCCTGACTGTGATCCAGCCTCAGTCCTGGCCCCTGACTGTGATCCAGCCTCAGTCCTGGCCCCTGACTGTGATCCAGCCTCAGTCCTGGCCCCTGACTGTGATCCAGCCTCAGTCCTGGCCCCTGACTGTGATCCAGCCTCAGTCCTGGCCCCTGACTGTGATCCAGCCTCAGTCCTGGCCCCTGACTGTGATCCAGCCTCAAGTCCTGGCCCCTGACTGTGATCCAGCCTCAGTCCTGGCCCCTGACTGTGATCCGGCCTCAGTCCTGGCCCCTGACTGTGATCCGGCCTCAGTCCTGGCCCCTGACTGTGATCCGGCCTCAGTCCTGGCCCCTGACTGTGATCCGGCCTCAGTCCTGGCCCCTGACTGTGATCCGGCCTCAGTCCTGGCCCCTGACTGTGATCCGGCCTCAGTCCTGGCCCCTGACTGTGATCCGGCCTCAGTCCTGGCCCCTGACTGTGATCCGGCCTCAGTCCTGGCCCCTGACTCTGTGATCCAGCCTCAGGCCTGGTCCCTGACTGTGATCCAGCCTCAGTCCTGGCCCCTGACTGTGATCCAGCCTCAGTCCTGGCCCCTGACTGTGATCCAGCCTCAGTCCTGGCCCCTGACTGTGATCCAGCCTCAGTCCTGGCCCCTGACTGTGATCCAGCCTCAGTCCTGGCCCCTGACTGTGATCCAGCCTCAGTCCTGGCCCCTGACTGTGATCCAGCCTCAGTCCTGGCCCCTGACTGTGATCCAGCCTCAGTCCTGGCCCCTGACTGTGATCCAGCCTCAGTCCTGGCCCCTGACTGTGATCCAGCCTCAGTCCTGGCCCCTGACTGTGATCCGGCCTCAGTCCTGGCCCCTGACTGTGATCCGGCCTCAGTCCTGGCCCCTGACTGTGATCCAGCCTCAGTCCTGGCCCCTGAGGGTGATCCAGGCCTCAGTCCTGGCCCCTGACTGTGATCCAGTCGGCCTCAGTCCTGGCCCCTGACTGTGATCCAGCCTCAGTCCTGGCCCCTGACTGTGATCCAGCCTCAGTCCTGGCCCCTGACTGTGATCCAGCCTCAGTCCTGGCCCCTGACTGTGATCCAGCCTCAGTCCTGGCCCCTGACTGTGATCCAGCCTCAGTCCTGGCCCCTGACTGTGATTCTCTCTCTCTCCCATCTCTCTCGGCACCCTCACCTCTTTCGGCACCCTCTCTCGGCACTCTCTCTCTCGGCACTCCTCTCGGCACCTCTCTCTCGGCACCCTCTCTCGGCACCCTCTCTCGGCACCGCTCTCTCGGCACCCTCTCTCGGCACTCTCTCTCTCTGCACTCTCTCTCTCTGCACCTCTCTCTCGGCACTCTCTCGGCACTCTCTCTCGGCACACTCTCTCTCTCGGCACTCTCTCGGCACTCTCTCTCACTCTCTCGGCACCCTCTCTCGGCACCCTCTCGGCACTCTCTCTCGGCACCCTCTCTCGGCACCCTCTCTCTCTCGGCACTCTCTCTCTCGGCACCCTCTCTCGGCACCCTCTCTCGACACTTTCTCCCCCCCCCCCTCTTTCTTTGTGATGTCACAGAACCAACAAGCAAACTATCAATGGTGGAGCGATAAACATGAAGCAGAATGTTTTGAGTTTTTGGTGAATTCTCAGACTTTTCCGCAGAGTAAGAAGAGCCCATGAAAGAAAAGTCTGAACTTTAAAAACTGTCTCAACCTCAACAGACTTTAAAAAAACAATCTGAGCGTAGGCAGAAAGACGACACCTGCTCAAAACCATTATCCACCTCCATTATTCATGCGTCTACCTGCACTTTACCGTTCTTTACAAATCAATGCCCCGGCCTCTCATCTGTCTTTTTCTCTGCCTCTCATCTCTCCCCGTCTCTTTCTGTCTCCCCCTCTCGGTCTCTTCCTCTCTCTCTGGCCTCTCTCTCTGGCCCTCTCTCCCTCTGTCTCGCTCCTCTCTCTTCCCCCCCCCCCTCTCTCTCTCCCCCCCTCTGTCTCCCTCCTCTCTCTGTCTCCTTCTCTCTCTCTCTCCTTGTCTCTCCCCCTGTCTCTCTCCTCTCTCTTTCCGTCTGTCTCTCCCTCTCTCTCTGACCTCTCTCCTTTCTCTGGCCTCCGTCGTCTCTCCCCCCTCTCTCTCTCCTCTCTCCTCCATCGTGTCTCTCTCCTCTCTCTCCGTCTGTCTCTCCCTCTCTCTCTCTCCTCTCCATCTCTCTCTCTCTCTCTCCCTCCATCTGTCTCTCTCTCTCTGTCTCTCTCTCTCTCTCTCTCTCTCGACCTCACATCTGCTCGTCATTACAGACTGTATTTTTTTACCAAACTGACATAACACATGTGCGGGCCGTGGACGGTGACATCAGAGGAGCGAACCCAAGACCCGCCTGTTGGAGCGAAGGGGGCGGGATGAGGTCATGTTGTCATGGAAACGCTCTGCAAATCCATTGTCCCGCGGGATCCTTCAGCCAGAAGTGGGTTTAGGAATGTAGAAAAGGTATAATGTGACTTTTGGATTGTTCCGGGGCCACGCCTTTGAGCGACTGCTGCTTCCTGGGAGTTTCCTTTTAGAAGCACGTCGGAAATTAGCATGTGTGTGACTGTAAACTTATGTAAATGGGGAGTTTTATTGAATTTTAGACTTTTGCCCAAAGCACAGGAAAAAAAAGTTATTTATGATTCTGACAAAGTTTTTTTTTTATGCCTTTCTCTCAAGGTCTAAACTTTAAGAATAGAGAATAGTTTAGTTCCTTTGTTCCTCCCACAGCGGGGAAATGTCAGTGTTGCATCACCAGTTACAGAACAAGACATGAATAATAACTTTATACTAGAATAAAATAAACTCTGTAACTTTAGCATAATAAAGAAGCGTGTTAGCAGCATGAGGGCACGAGCCGAAGACCACAGACTGTAAATATCAGACGTAGTCACGCCTTTCTCTGTCGTTCTAACGGTGTTTTCAGAGCGCCAACGCTGAAACGCTGAAGCCCCGCTCACCAGACGCGCATTCTCTAGTTTTCAGACGCAGAGGTCTTTACACCAGAACGTCCTGACGAGAGCCGGAAGTACCGGAAGTAGCCGGCTCTGATGCTAACAGAGCTATGCTAGCGGCTTCTTGTGCACAGATCTTCTCCAATATGCAGCTTTGCAGCGTGTCTTTGCTCAGACATTCCACGGGCTTTATATAACAGCAGTATGTGTTCACGGTGACTTTATATAACAGCAGTATGTGTTCACGGAGGTGACTTTATATAACAGCAGTATGTGTTCACGGAGGTGACTTTATATAACAGCAGTATGTGTTCACGGAGGTGACTTTATATAACAGCAGTATGTGTTCACGGTGACTTTATATAACAGCAGTATGTGTTTCACGGAGGTGACTTTATATAACAGCAGTATGTGTTCATGGAGGTGACTTTATATAACAGCAGTATGTGTTCACGGAGGTGACTTTATATAACAGCAGTATGTGTTCACGGAGGTGACTTTATATAACAGCAGTATGTGTTCACGGAGGTGACTTTATATAACAGTAGCATGAACACACTCGAAGGTGTTGCATAAGGTCACGGGGGAGCATGACAACTCATATTTTCACAAGCACAGAGTCCTCCATTGTCAGCCCTGGTTTGAGTTCTGGTGAAGTCTGGTGTGGGTCCTGTTTTGGCTGTTTACAGTATGTTCAGTCTGCTCTCTCAGTCCGCTAATGTCCCCATGACCACTTTGCTGCTCTCTGATTGGTTGTCGCACGAACGTCCCAAAGAAAGGATGAGCAGAATCCATCTCCTGTGGGCGTTCATTTTTCCTCCTGCTCCTCCCTTTCACTTTCCCGCTAAGTCCGTGCGTCTCGACTGAACAGTCCGTTCGTGCGAACCGAGCGGTCTGTGCGTTGTGACGGTCGAACACTCGTCACCATAGACTTTGCATTGAAACCCGATGCATCATGATCCGGTTTTGGACCATCCTGTAAAGACTTTTTCGAGAG